GAACCTTTCAGCTTGTAAAGATGAGCAGTAGAAATGGCAGAGCTCAGGGACTGAAGTCTGAGGATAATGGAGACATCAGTGATTAAGACCGTGGAGAACACAACTCACTCTCAGACACATTAATTAGTCTTTGGAACCCACAGTGCTCTGTATGAGGAAGCCAAAGCTTCCTGAAGAACTTACCACCAAACCATGTAATCACCATGCTTCTTCAACAAAAACCTGGTGTCATTCAGTCTCTAGCAATACTAAAACACAGCCAAAAGATAACCTTTTCTGGAATAAGGATATGTTTGGTTGTGCACCAGTCAGAGAGGGTGGAAGGAGTTGTTTCATAGGCTTTAAAACAAGGCCAGTATTGTCAGAAATTTGCTGTTTCCTCTGCCATTCCCTTGTTCCCACTGCCCTCAAAAGATTTTTAGCTTTCAGGGCCATGATGTCGCCCCGTGTTGCTACCAACTTTCCTTTTTCTTGATCTTTTGTTTCAATGTCTGCTTTCTTTCCCCTGTGTGCTCACTGAAGCCTGATTGTGGGGTCAAGCTATAATTAGTTTATATATGAAGTTTAATTCACTGTGGCTCTTTTGGCATTAGACTCAAATGGGCTTTGATGTCTGGCTGGAGCTTTGATCCCAGACCCTCGAATGGTGGTCATCACCCCAACTCAAAGGATTGCCCTTACTTTTTTCCTCCTATTCGGAGACAGCTTTTCCCAATTACATCATTTGTGTTTGTTTGGCCATAAAAGCTGCAAGGCATCATCTTGTGGCTTTGCTCTATAACAAAATGTGCAATTGATGCTCCTTACTTTGCTTGACTGCAACTGAATGTTCACTGCTGGATAAGGCATTTGTAGAAGGGTGCTCAGACTTTGGTTGGAATGCTCTTAGGAGTGTTCTGCCCAAGGGCGAAGCATCAGACTGTGTGATAAGAGGGACCTTTTTTGGCTCTGGCCAGGAAATATCTTTAGGCATAAACCACACAACTGTCAACCAAGACTCTTATTCATGCTGGCAACTTTATCTTATTCTCCAGATCCTCTAGGCAGCAGATCTACTCCATCTTTAGTGCTATATTTTCTGAGGCACGATTTGCAGTTTTTATGAGAAAACAGAGGCCTCCAGGGAAAGCACAAGAACTAACTAAGACTGAAAAATATTAGAAAGGAGATAATGAAATAGCACTACTGGAAGAAGTACCAGCACCTGCTTTAAAAAGAAAGGGAAAGAAAAATAAAAACAGTAGGGGAAAGCGAGATTCTATGGGTGACAGAGGGAGCGGGGGATGATTACTTTCAACTATTTCCGGAATACCTGCAGCCAAAACAAAAAAATCAAAGAGGAAAGAAAATCCAGGAGACTAGACTGGAGAGGAGAAAATTTGGCTGTTAGCTTAAAAAGAGAATAGGGGCAAACCAGTCAGTCTTACTTAATCTGATGACATTGGGAGTTTTCCTGGAAAAACAATTACAGCATTGAGCTCCTTGCTTCTAACTTCATTTGACAGCCCAAGTTTGTTTTAATTGGCATGTGAATGAACAGCATTATTTATTAATGTGTAATGGATACTCTGGAAAGCATAACCTTTTTTCCTATTTGTGACCATTTTATTGGCGGAACCATCTGAATACATTAGTTTTAATATTTAAACTTGCTGGGAACACTTTTTCATGGAGATGTACAAGCTGTTATGGCAAATGGTTTGCTTAGCACTAATGAGCCAGCTCAAAGTGGCATTTGGTGGGGAAGGGGGTTGGGAGGGTGGGGAAGTTTGGAGACATAGCAACTTGTCTGTCTGCCTTAACAAGATTTATTAGAAGTGTGTAAAAACGTGTTTCAGCCTTTTCCCCTTCCCTCAGCTATATAGATATAGTTGTCGATGTGTGACATAACACAGGCCACAATAATAGACTCCACCCAGCCAGAAGGAATCTAATTCAGAACTAGAAAGCAAGAAGCTTCTTTAGAAATGTGTAGAGTGAGCCGGCTTGGTGGCTCAGCCTGTAATCCCGCGCCTTTGGGAGGCTGAGGTGAGTGGATTGCCTGAGCCCGCGGGTTCGAGACCTGCCTGGGCAGGCGAGACCTCATCTCTACAATAAAATCAAAAAATTAGCCGGGCGTGGTAGTGCGTGCCTGTAATTTCGGCTACTCAGAAGGCTGAGGCGGAAGGATGGCCGGAGCCCAGCAGGTCAAGGCTGCGGTGGCCGGCAGCGGCCACTGCACTCCAGTCTGGGTGACAGAGTGAGACTCCAACTCAAAAAAAAAAAAAGAAATGTGTAGAGTGAAACAATGACAAGAGGACATGGGTGAGTGGCATTTGGCAGGCAGGATAAGTCATTACTCTTTAGTGCCTTACTAAAATCAGGGAGGAAAATTAGCTCCCGTATCATCCAGTAGTGTTTGGCACACAGTAGGCATAAAGAACAGGTAACATGGATAGAATTGATCTTGTATGTTCATGAACACCTAAACATAATTCCATTTTTAGATCCAATATACAGTGTTGTTAGTAATGAGTCAAAGTTGCAGTTATAGTTCCTTTCATGCCTGTGGGAGGCAGCAATGTGAAGGAAAGTGGAAGCAGCAAGGGAACTCTTGCTTTTGTTTTTGGTAAATACTGACTTAATGCTATTTGTAGTAGAGATTAAATGGGTACCATCAAATTTAAATGTTAAAAAATATGTTAATGAAAAAACCATTTACAACCAATCTACATTTTCTTGAGTCTCTGTATAGCAATTATTGGATGAATGCTAGCAAAGTACTATACTGAGTATGGTGCTATTATTAGTACAAGGTTATTCAAACTGTCCTTGACTTCAGGGAGCTTTCAAAATGTAGAGGGAGAGAAGAGACACACATATACACATTTACATACATAGATGTGTGAGTTTGTGAATCCAGATAAATAACTGTACAAGTAGCATGGGATAAGAATCAGATATTCATACAGTTAACTAGAGTTCAAAGGAGGAAAGGCAGTGAACTCATCTTGGAAGGAAGGTTAGACCACACAGAGAGGAGAGGAGAGGGAATCTTGGGGGATGAGGTGGGGGGCAAGCAGCTGGGCAAAGGTGTAAGAGTCTGAAACAATGACATGGGATGCGCTTCTTCCTTCAAACAGCACTTTGCTGAACCTCTGCAAATTGTTGAATTCAATTTGCAAATTGTTGATTCAATTTCTGAGACTATTGGATGTGCTGTTTTTGAAAAAATTTATGAAACTTTTCCACAGATAGGCCAGCTAGTGGCATTTCCAGACCCTCTGAAATTTCCTGTGACCAGTGTCCCAAGCAGAGAAGACCTTTATACTGCATATTATTATAATTCTTTTTTTTTTTTTTTTTTGAGTTGGAGTCTCACTCTGTCGCCCAGACTGGAGTGCAGTGGCCACTCCCGGCCACCGCAGCCTCGACCTGCTGGGCTCCGGCGATCCTTCTGCCTCAGCCTTCCAAGTAGCTGGAACTACAAGCGCGCGCTACCAGGCCCGACTAATTTTTTGATTTATTGTAGAGATTAGGTCTCACCAAGTTGAACCCGTGGGCTCAGGCAATCCACTCACCTCAGCCTCCCAAATGCGCGGGATTACAGGCTGAGCCACCGAGCCCGGCTTATTATAATTCTTAAACAGACAGGTTCTGTAACTAACTCCATTTTACTGTTGGGGAAACAGAGGCACGGAGAGAGGAAGTAACTTGCCCGTACAGCTATTTATGAGTGGAACTGGGATTCAAATTCAGACAGCCTGACTTCAGAGTCAGCGCTCTTGTAAATGCAGACTAAAATTAACACAAATTCAAACAAAAAACAAAGCGCGCACGCGTGCGCACTCAAATCCTAGGCTTGTAAAAGAATGGATACAACCTCTTGCTATTATACAGCGACATCCTCCTACCTGATTTTAAATGCCTTCTATAGTACAACTTCCGTCCAAAGGTTAACACAAAACTCAGTTTTACAACACCACATTGTGCTTTGTATTGTCTGCCTGTACAAAGTGGAGTTTAAAAAACCAAACCCCCAGGAATTGTCTTTGGATACACCGGCAGTACCTTGCTTGGGAAGGTGAAAGAAACCGACATCAGTGAGAGTGGATCCAAGAGGGGACTGTGGGGAAAGGGTTAAGGTTGTGTGCTGCAACTTGGTCGAGTTTCAGAAAGTTCGCTGAGAGCCCGACAGCGGCGCCCCTCCGCGGACCCCGCC